CTTTAGTACTTGTAGGTGGTATGTAGCCAAGCTTGTAAAGCATAAAGTAGTATTGAAACGATTATAGGAAAAGCTCAATTTGTAAGGTAGTCTTGAAAAGATCGCTTTGTAAGGTCCCACACAGGAAGAGATTCAGCTAGCCTCAAAGAGTGTCCATCAGTCAGGAAGAGATTCAGCTAGCCTCAAAGAGTGTCCATCAGTCAGGAAAAGATTCAGGTATTCTTGTAAATATCAATGAACACCACCACCATGGAAGCCGCTAACACTGTTAATCTATGCTACTTGTATCAGATGCATCATCACTGAATGCAGAAAACGATTCATCTATGTATCATCTATATACATTAGAGATGGCAAGGGTGGGGCTCAGAGCTACACCTGGATACGCTTGCTGTATCATCCTCATAGGTGCTGTATCATCCTCATAGGTGCTGTATCATCCTCATAGGTGCTGTATCACTGGCATCCGACCGTTGTGTTAAGCCCTTATTGCGCCTAGCTTCACCAATGTTATGACCCTTATGTTCTTCAAACAAAAGGGTCTGAATTGCACCGACTGAGCACAGTCTTTCAACACCGTGTGGGACAGGTGTTTGAGAGCCAGAGGCACGTGTGCCACAAATGGTTGCTCACGCAGTACTAACCCAGCCAGCAGCCCTTGTCTTTCATATTCGTTATGGCAAAAGGTTCATTCAGTTTTTGTTGGGTAGGCTGCTCCATTATGACAATCTTTCTTTGTTTCAAATGTGTTCCATTTGTTTTGTATTTGTCACTTACGTCTCAATAATGGAGCAGCCTACCCGACAAACACTGAACGAACCTTTATGACATTTGTCCATTTTTCAAATTGTTTCAACAGTTCTTTTATTTTTCGTTTTTTTTTTTTTTTTTTTTTTAAGAAACATGGAGCAGCCGACCTGTAGACCACCGAACGAACCTTTTTGACATTTGTACTGGTTTTCAAAATTCTTCATTTCTTTTATTATTTACGTTTTTTGTATGTAAGAAACATGGAGCAGCCTACCTGCCGACCACCGAACGAACCTTTTGCTATAAGGCAAATGAAAAATAAATATTGAACACATTTGAAGAAAGGAAAATGTCATAATGGTTTATTCAGTGTATGTAAGGTAGGCTTCTCCATTATTGAGACGCAAATGACAAATAAAAAACAAATGGAACACATTTGAAACAAAGAAAGATTGTTATAATGGAGCAGCCTACCTGCCGAACACCGAACGAACCTTTTTGACATTTGTTGTATATCAGACATTTCATTTCTTTTTTCCTACAAAAACGTCAATGCTTTGCAACATCTCAGTAGTCACCCTTTTATATCCCAGCATCATTAGCATCTTTAAACAAGAACAACATAATTTATGTGCATCGTCGGAGGCGTCTAAGAATGTGCAAGAAGCAGCGCGACCCCACCATGTGGTGTTGACGTTACTCAAACCAGCGTTCGTCATAAGGGACGATTTGACGCCGATCGGGCCGTTCGTTACCCAAAATATTCGTCTTTTGGGGCAATCGTTATGCGAGGTACCACTGTATATATGAAATGTGCCTTTTTGAATAAATCACTTGCTTGTTCCCAAATGCAAGAGGCCATGGAGTCTTTTGGAGAGCAACATGGCAGTTGGGGTAGGTCAACATTCTGCACTAGCACTGGAAGAAATACTTCCAAAAATTTTAAAATAAGTTAAGTACCATTGTCCGGAATCAAGAAAAAAGTAATGATAATTGAGTAAGAGAACTCTGTTGTGATGCTGGTGCTGCCATCATTTAATGATCGGTTGTCACGACTTTGTGGACTGCACGTACTATAATTTATATTTAGCGATAGTGCTTCTTGACAATTTCCTATGATGCCAAGGAGGGATTTAACCCTTTCAATGGCTCCAATTGCTTTGTGCAATTACTTCCTGTGCTTGAATATCCAAATGCATTTTTTTTTTACAATAGTTTTGCGATTTATTTTTTGTCATGTACACCACTATGTAGGACTTTTAATTATCTGACCCATTTAAGGGTAGAGCAACCTACACCTTCAATGAATGAATCTTTGGCAGTTAATCTGGCTTGGATTTAATGTTTTCCAATCCTTCTCTAGTACAATCATGACTCCAAGGGTGACTGATAGATTCACTGGGCACTCGTGTGCAATGTCAACCTCACTGTCACGAACTTCTTTAATAGACTCTAGGGATTTTTACATAAGGGAGATATGGGGCACAATAGCTCAAAATGAGGCTTAATTAAAGTTCTTGTACAACTAATCTCATAATGCACAGCTAATCACAGTAATGCATCAAACAGACAACACAGAGCATGACAAATATCAAGACTATACTTCACTACAAGTGAAAATATAAAACTAGATGACTAAAGATCTTAGGCATTCTACTTATCATTTATAAAAGCTATATGAAAATACTTACCAATAGAATATAAGACAAGCAGAGTTCAATTGATAAAGGAAACAGGAAGTATCTACAAATATGCAGAGAGGAAGTAATAATAACATGGCTGAAAGTTATACATCCAACTAACAAATATCAAAAGAAAGAAGGAGACGACATTTCAGTTCGGACCGGACCATTACCAAAATATGATAAATGTCAGGAAAGGACAGCCTGAAATGTCATTACTTCCCTTCTCTTCATATTGTGGGTTGGGTGTTGTATCAACAAATAATTAGAGTACAACTGTATGATTCATCTGCCCACGAACACACTACTAGAGAGGAAGAAAAGGGCAATCATTTCAACAACTGATGTTAACTGATTGATAATTTCACATACGTTATAGAACCACTTGATGATTTGCTATGTTTCTTCACCTTCACATTGACTTTTAAGTCAGGTAAATTATGATTTTTTAAATTTGTTTGTTTTGGAATTTTTACTGTCTAGAAGTAAAATTATACATAACACTACTACTGTACAGTACTTCATTCTCATGATGCTTCATCTAATATAAAAAAAAACTATGCCCAAATTCCAGTTCTGTACATTTTGTTGGCTTTAAAAATTCACTGAGAATATATTGTCACAATATCAATATGCACATCTGATTATTCAAATGGTACACTATGCATATCAGCAACTTGTACTTGTTTAGGTGAAGCTAGGTGCACCAGGTGACCTCTTGTTTGGAAATAAGAAAGAGCGAAGGTGAGGAGAGTGATTCTAATGTACTGTAGTGTCTGGTTAATTGAGACACTCGACAAAATGTGATTTTAATGGGGATTCTACCATGACAAACTTCAGTCAGTCCTTCACTGCAACCTCATTAACCTCTGCTAGTTCAAGTATCGATGCATGGAGAATTGACAACACTGCTTAACAAATCTATATATTTTGGGAGTTCCTGGGCAATAAGTTTTTCTGACTACTTATGTCTCCATAGTATACATACGGCTATTGTTTCTCTCAAATTTTGCTCTGATCTCTTTCTAAGACTATTTAGGGAAGACATCTTGAAGGTACCTGATGGCTGCCAATTTATGAAACAATGTATTGCAGCTCTAAATAAGAAGTCGGCAGCCATCAAGTACTTTTAAGACGTCTTCCCTAACATGTCTTAGGCAAAGGTCAGAGCAAAGTTTGAGGGGAAATAATACCCATTTCTACACTTTGGAGTCATAAGCAATCAGAATATAACACTTACTATCCAGGAACAAATACTGTGCTACATTGTGTAATGTGCAAGCCCCTGTGTATGTACTCACTGGAATACCTGGAAGGAAGAACTAGAATCTGGCTCTCTCAATAATGTGAGGAATGTTTAGGGATCAGAGATCTAGCCAAAACTGAGGAAAACCAGATAGAAAGTCAGAAATAAAATAAGCCACATCTTGAAATCAATTATTGAGGAAGCCGGGTAAATGATAATTTACCGAGTGGTCCCAGCCCACAAACCAACCTCAAGTCACGCGCTGCCAGTACAGAACCCTAAAATGACCCACTGGTAAAAATGGGAGAAATGAGAAAACACTTGGTGGACTAGAATCTTTGGTGAAATAGAATAGGTCTTGCCCCAATTAATATATTTGAGCAAGGTTATGCTGTTTGTATTTATTGCATAGTTTTATCTGCCATTTCATGTGAAATCTTCTTGGATTTTAAATATGTATATATATGATTTAAATATTATTGAAAGAGTTTTGAAGTACTTGAAGCATCTGCCATGATAATGGTTTGCCCATCACAAAACATTCAACCATTCCAATTATCCATCAACTTGCACTGAGAACAAAATGTTGCAAAAATAATGAGGTATTCCTCACTAAGATTATTTGTGGGAACTGAAGAGCAATGAGCCTGGCAAAGACAGTAAACTACAATGTAAAGAAATAAAGGCAAAGAATGGGAAAAAAAGCATTAATTGAAAGAGCAATTTGAAGTGGTGAATATATAGATGACCACCAAACCGTTTTTGTGCTTTCAAGGAAGAGCTCTCTCAATGGAATAATGGTCCCCACTATACTTTCCCTAAGGTAGAAGGTTAGGTTTTTTATGGCATAAAGTCATCTATTCTCCTTACTATTTACCTTTCCTTTAAACTGAGAAAATCCTTAGGAGCCATGAGGTGGATTCAAACTTGCTCACTTGGTACTCCCAAGCACACGCCCTAGACCACTACAGTTAACATGTTAAAAGTAATGCATCCTGGGACTCCAGTGAATCCTGTGGGGGTCCTGAGGTTTCCAACTCAAGCCCAAACAGGGTTTCATGCATTGGCCCAATGCACTCTTGCTTATGGTCCGGGAGTTCTACCTCAACACTTCTTGTCAAATGCATAATGAAATCATTATACATTTACTTAAACTGTTATACATTGTATAAAATAAAAAATCAGAAAGTACATTACAATTATGAGAACTCCATAAATATTCCTTATCTGGATAGACCAGGATTCTTAAATCTAATATTCAAAATGCAAGGGGATGATACAAATACTGTAATGTATCAGTCAAAACAATCAGGTACACTCACAGAAATAGCACAGCACATTAAAGCGTGTTCACTCATCTCCTTGGTCATCATCTTGAACAGCTGCTTACGTTTCTCAAAGTCATCAGTGTAACCACCCACAGTTAGGTCTAAATGTGCCGAGACGCCTGAGGTCAGATCTACCAGAGCATCACTAAGATTACCACCCTGGGAAAATGTAACTATATATTAATTACAAGATATGTACATTGTAATTAGGTGGCATAATTAATAAAAAACTTATTTTTAATTATTTTTCATTATTTTCAGATCGTTCAACAATTTGTAAAGTTACCATTTCTCATCTAATGTTACGTACTACTCTAAAACACATTAATTTTCTCCTATTCTTGTTTACATTATGCCCTCCTTAACAGCTGTATATCATTTGCTAAATTTCTTGAACAATGCATATGATAGCTTACTTCTTGTTTAGTACTGTATTAAGTGTCTACCTAATCAAGCCTTTAAACAACCTCAACTGAATTACTTTAAGTTATGCCCAAAACACTTTGCATATTAGTGGCCTTATTAAATACAATAGATGTGAAAAACTTTCCATTCAACTGGTATGGTTTACTCAAAATTTATGCATTTAAAAAAAAATTATATTAGACACAGAAATCACTAAACTTGAATACAGTATATACTCTTATTTTTAACAGACCATACCAGCCAACCAGCTGTTTGTCTCCAATCTGGCAATTTGTGGATGTTTACTGCTCTGACAGTTTTATATGTCATTTGTCCCGGTGCCTGACTGATGTTCAGGCACCGGGGTTTTGAAGGTAATACTGAAGACGGCCTCTCGTTCCATGTTGATTCTCCTTTGGTCTTACCGAGCTTGTGTGTACTTAAGACTTTTGGGGCATGGCTTCCATTCTTTACAAGGGGCACTCCTCTCTCTGGGTCAACCCAGTCCATCATCTCTGTTTTCAGATAAATCAACCACTTTTATAAACATGCTCTTGCAAGTAAGCTCGAAGAGCCACTGTTCTTTGAGCCTTCTTTCCAGGAGAAAAGGGTCCTGTTCCCTTCTTTCCCATAGGTTTCTGAGGATTTGCATAAATAGCTCCAAAATGAGGGAGCAGGCCGAGTGAGACTTTAGGTGATTTGAGCTGCTATCTAGCAGCAGAAAAAATGCATCAAAGTCGGTATTTACCTTGTAGCAATGATTGCCTTCTTTACCTTGGGAATGTGTCTAATATCTTTTCAGCAGTTACTTGTTTTGTAGCACCTCTGTTCTCCAGTGGGTTTCCCCAGTTTGTGGTTGACCTCTGATCCCCTGCTCCTTTTGTTAAATAAGCCAGATTTTGGTTCTGGCTCCCAGTAGGTGACAGTTGGGTCTCAGTCACAGTGTTTTGGAATAAGACTCAGTGGTACCAGTGCTCAAGACGCCACTGTCAAGGGATCCCCTTCAGAAAATATATGTACCTATTTCAAACATTGTAATCAGGCCCTATAAAATAGTTTGTTATAAATAAAATATTATTATTATTATTATTATTATTATAATACTCAATTTTATAATAATTATAATAATAATATTTTCTTTATAAGATACGATATTACTGTTTACTTAGTAGGTACAGTACTGTACTTGTATATTTTATAAGGCCACTAATTATTCACAGTAAAATCAGTGATAACATATACTGTATTTAATAATTAAATACCTTACCTCTAACGCTTCATACGATCCATGTAGTTTCGCATATGCTTTCTCTAATAAGGCACACCAAAACTCTCCCTTTTCTCTTGAATGAGTAAATATTAGCTGCCCTTCAATGGTTGGCAGAAGGTCATCAATAACAACGTCCAACCACTCGCCAAATCTCCAAAATCGAAAGTGGAAGATGCCTGGATGTAGTTCTCCATATTCTTGATCTTTGTAATCTGGTAACACCTGAAATATTGAGATACAGTATTTCAGCCAAAAAAAAAAACTACTGTACATTAATTAAGCAGAACCAATTACTGTACTGTACTATGCTACCAACATCTAAGGGTGCAAGCCAATGCAATGAAACAGGTTATACAACAAATGCTCTGTACAGTAAAGTTTAACATAAGGATAAACACATAGCCAGTAGAGAACAAATGTTTAATAATAGGATGTCATATAGTGCCAGACTCAAATAACTATAAATAATTAATATAGTTCCCAAATATATATATAGGTACAGTAATGAAATATCTACCTTGATACAAAAAAAAAAATTGTTCTGAGCTCTCGCACTTGGTTGCTTCCTATGGTAAGTACAATATACACTGTTATAGAGTATGGTCAAATTGTACACAAGATGGTTTGACAAGCTTGTTTTCTAATTATTAAAACCATATATAGTACAGCATATCAATAGGTTAGGAAATTATTAAAGTTAGCCTTAGCTGGGTTGGGTTAGGTTTGTTTGGGTTCAGTTAGGTTGGTTGGGTAAGGTTAGGTAGGTTTTAAAATTCACTGGCAAACCAATTTGTATATGATGTGACTTGTATCCAGTGGCATAGACAACATTTGTTTACACTCAAGCTGGATGGCACTGTAAATGCCAGTGCCCTCAAGAATCATTTCAAGTTCCTGCACGGTCAGTGTGAGTGTTAGGGAGGCACAGACAAAATATACAATCTAGTCCAGATTGACTGATTGATTGATTGATGAAGATTAAGACACCCAAGAGGTGGCACGGGCACGAATAACCCGAAACAGATTGACCAGCGGAGTTACTATACATTCAAAAAAATTTAAAGCTGGTTTGGGGGTGGAGTTGCAAAGGCCTTCCACACCTCTGTAGGTGCCTTCAGTTCCTCCATCCTATCAGTGAGAGGTTCCTTTTGTGCTTCACTAGTAAAATAAGTCAGATTATTCTGGGCCTTCTGACATACCTAGGTCTTGACACAAACTTTGTAACCTTTCATATAGTCTAAGGTAACCACATAGGTATGGTACATCTACAATTCAGTATATTAAAAAAAAATCTTCCTTATGTCTCTGGTTTGAGGCTTGCTTCAGATTCCCTGTAGCACACAATGGGAAGATCTTTTTCCCAGTCGAGGGAGAGGGTGATGATCTGGTCTGGTTTTCCTGAGAACTAAGGTCACTGGACAAGAGGAGAAAATTTTCCTGCATGTACACATATGTGTTGCAACCCCCTTTCAGTTTAAAAGCAATTTTTCCTTTTTATCTGAAGAGTTTTGTTCACCATAGCCTTTGTAGATGAGGATGAACCCACCTTTAAAAGGTTCCAGTCTTCCCTTCTTCTGGCATAAAATTATGTGAAAAAATAACATGGAACGCTTCTATTTGCAGATAAAGGTCCACGTCTCTCTTGGAGTCGAGAACTGCATCTACTTCTTGGATGCAGTATTGAGCTCCTGATTCATTCTAACTATCTAGCATTGTCTCATTTGTTTAGAGACATGCAGTCTTATTTCTCACAGGCATTCAAGTGGAAGGACATTTGCACATTCTGTAAAATTGCTCTTTTGCCATTACAGTTAGACTTCCTGAACAAGGTTCCATATAATCATGTTCTCGTGAGTCAGCATCCACTTACCCTGCTTGACTCTCCAGGTGACTGTCTTTGGTTGTACAGTACTGTACAACAAAGATTCCTTTCTGATTAACCTACTCAGTCATTCCCTTAGGCAATGTCTAGCTCTTCCATCAATCACAGTCCATAAATGTTTTCAATGAACTGAGTATCATCACTGACCCCAAACAGTATAGATAATTGCCAAGGAATTTTATGTATAAATTTATAAATTTACCCCCCTTTATGAAGTCAACATGTGCAGCCACATAATAAATTTTGTACTTGAAGGTGGTGAACTGAAGTAATGTACTGTAAATATATCAACAATAGCACTGGTTACATCTGTAACAATGGTTACCTTACCTTGAGGTGCTTCCGGGGCTTAGCGTCCCCGCGGCCCGGTCGTCGACCAGGCCTCCCATTACAACCTGGTCGGCCTCGACCAGGTTATCTTATCTTGAGGTTATCTTGAGATGATTTCGGGGATTTAGTGTCCCCCGCGGCCCGGTCCTCGACCAGGCCTCCACCCCCAGGAAGCAGCCCGTGACAGCTGACTAACACCCAGGTACCTATTTTACTGCTAGGTAACAGGGGCATAGGGTGAAAGAAACTCTGCCCATTGTTTCTCGCCGGCGCCTGGGATCGAACCCAGGACCACAGGATCACAAGTCCAGCGTGCTGTCCGCTCGGCCGACCGGCTACCAGGTTGCAAAGATTATTTTTCTAATTCAGTATAGTATTACATAAAAAACAGAATTTCAAACAACATACCTAACCTGGAAACTGCATAACTGAAAACTTACTCTATTCCAGAGTTCCTTGACACCTGCCAGTGTGGCACAGGCAGCAACGAACCAACAGTTGCCCAGCTGACCCTGCGTTACATCGTTGGCACTCGCTCCCTCAATAAACAAATGAGGCTTCTCAACTAGGTCCTGTATGCAGAATACATTAAGTGATACATTCAAATACAGTACTGTACTGTAATGAAAATTGTAAAAGTATATTTCTATTAAATAAATTTGAGAATGTAGCAAGGAAAAATAATTATTTTCACACATAAATTCAGTGAAAATTTTCTTTAGATTGTTGTCCTGAATGCAGTGAGCCCCAATGATGGATTTAAAAATAAATTGTAAAAAATCATTACAGATATAGTCATCCATTGCAATGGAGTCAGAGATGTAAGATTCCCACTAATCTAAATCTGCACTGGAGATAAATAACAAATTTAATGGTTTAATTTCCTACATTAAACATTTACTTTTTAATCAGATTTAAATATCAAAATATCTGTTTTACCACCTGTGAAAATAAAAAATTAGCAATGAATGTAATGGAATGCCTCTTTTTGGGCAAGCCTCGGTAACTACCCCAGAAAACCATCATTGGAAATCTTGCTGCAATGGAAAGTGTCTGATACTACTTATTCTAGAACAGTTCCTGCGATGGCCCTGCTGGAACCAATCGTATTGGTGTTTGCCTTTCCATTGGAGACTTTTGGCGCCGTGGAAGGGAGAGACCTGCTGCATAGGTGACAACTTCTTTCCCTGTGTCAACCTACCCTGGCTTTGCGCCCTGGAGAGGCCATCCCAGACCAACAATCAGAGCGCAACTCCATATCTCCTATGACTGATGGATGCCTACTACTAGATTATCAGAGTTATACTGCACAGATATAAGCTGTGCTTAATACATAGAATGATGCATTTTGCTTCATTACCAGAAGGAACTGTATATTTTGAGACAATTTCAGATGTTTAAATCCATAAATTCACATTAGATGCACTCAAGTATGGTTGGCAAGCTATAATATGAACAATAAAGACAATTATTTACTCAGTAATAACAGCTAACCTGAATAAACATTTGCAAATCACATACTCTAGTACAGAACTAAGATTTTCATATTTGAATTGTCAAATGCTGTGAGCAAATTATCAGAATTGTTTTTACATTTTAATTTAATGTTAATATAATTAAAAGCTGTGATATGTCATAAAAAATTATACATCAAAATACTTTAACTTTAATTAATTTTTTTAGGTTAGCTTTGTAAATATAAATTTATCAACATAACTCAATAACTAAAAGTGTTGCTTTTCAGAAATGAACACATTTACTAGAAATTACCCGAGGGCCACTAACAATAACGCCCGAAACGCTACGCGTACTAGTGGCTGTACAAGAATGTAACAACTCTTGTATATATCTCAAAAAAAAAAAAATAGTGGCCTCAACGAGGACAGGAAGCCGGCGGCTTATCAAAAGTCCACCCCCCCATTTGTCTTGATGATCTTTTCCAGTTAGATTTTAAAATTTAACAAGAGTTTTGGCAAATATATGGCTTTGGCGGGTAGGCAGTTCCATGGGTTTATAACTCTGTGGATGAAAAAGCCTCTACTGTTCTTAGTTCTACATTGTGGCTTGTTGAGCTTGAAACCATTGCTCCTTGTCTCCATATAGCCATTCTTTGCAATGAAAAACTTACCTGAGGTCGCTTCCAGGTAATAACTCCAGGAGGCTGCTTCGAGAAGAAAATTGACGAATCATGGGGTGGAAATTTTGGGTCGCTGAATTTCTCTCCTGAAAATTTTTTTTTCATATAGTTGATATATATACCTAATTATAAACTTGTTAATAATAAATAAAATTATATAAACATTTATCACAAGTTATTCTGAGTTAAATCACATTCAGTTGCTGCTTAACCCTTAGACAATGGCTTATGTTGTAAAACATTTTGATACATTTGGTGTGAATTCAAATTTACATTATATAATATTTTCACTACAGTAATTTAAGGAAATTTAGTTTTGCTTATAAATTTCTATAACTGCCAAACTCTGGCAATTATAGCCATACCTAATAAAATGATAAATCTTGAGGGTATTCAACTGAGCAAGTCCCTGGTGCATCCACATTTGGACTACTCCATATATCCAAGCATGGAGACCTCACTTTCCAAAAAATATATATCTGCTTTGGACAAAAATTATCTGAAAACTAAGTCAACTCTCATACCAGGAAAGATTGTGGTCACAGCATTAACACTACAAACCAGACATGACAGGACTTATCTTATCAAAACCTTCAAAATGCTGAACAAGTTGGAGGATATTAATCCAGACCACTTCTCTAAAGTTCACATGTAATGCATAAAAGGGGAAACAGTTACTTTAAGGTCAACATACAACAGTGCAGGACTGAAAGCAGGAGATGCTTTTTCACCCATAGGGTTATTAACCTATAGAACCATCTACCTGTTGAAGCCATAAATACCAAGACAATACTGTAGTTCAAAATCCAGCTGGAAAAAATCCTCAGGAACAATGGGAGACCTTTGACAGGCCGCCAGCTTTCTGTCCCAATTGAGGCAACTAGAGAGATGTTGGTCTCCTGATTAATTCAGGTAAAATCATTAAGGTGGCATGCGGCACCAACATGCCCAAAAATATTTATTGTACAGTGTATTACAAATATTAAGCCTGAAACCATTTTTGGTATTTTTTTTTATTCATCCATATTTATTTGATTTCCACCCCTACAGAACAAAAAAATTAATGTGAACACTAGTTCTTTATCCAATTTTGGGGAAATTATATCAATATCATAGTGTATCAGAATTAAACTAATTTGATATTCTCTATATCCAAGGAAGTATATGATTTTTTTTAACTTGTTTGCAAAGAATGAACATATTAAAAAATTGATTTTAGCAATTATACACTGTAATGATCCAGAACTCAGTGAATTTACAATACAAGGCAGCTGAGTAATAGACAAGATTTGTGAAGTCATTCAAGATGCCATTTAGAAAAGTTTTAATGAGATCTGCCCTATCATGCCTGGTTTGCAGTGTTGCTAGCCCAGTGGCCCTCAACCATTCCTGATACTAGAGATGATTTGGCTCTGGAATGATTTTTGTTGCTCGGTGTTGTACTTTCTCCAGAGCAGCTATGTCCTTCTGAAGATGAGGTCTCCATGCTTGGATACAGTAATACAAGCATGAAGCGACATATTCCAGATATATTATGCATTGTGTACCTATGAATATTCCACTGTATCATGTCTCTAATACTGTATATATGTTATAAATAAAAATTATTAGCAGTACTGTAGTAGTAGAAGTATTATTGTTATTATTATCAAGTTGTTTAAAGAAAAAGTTGTAGAGTTAATATAAGATAATCACCATCAAGTTAAATTATTCCTCAGGGATAAATAAAAAAAATAACACACCTCTTTTAAGACATTCCTTCCTTAGCTTGGAGTAGTTCTGGCCATTGAAGGCTGTGGTGTTGCTGAAGATACCCATCCTGGGCTATCTTCTCATCTTATTTACTTCTATCTTGCTTACTCTTCAGCTTCCTTCCTTAGCAGATGCTATTCTATTAACACATCTTGTATTTATCTTGACCAGGGAAATATTCGCTGCAGCATTATTGATTCTGAAAGTAAATAATTAGTTACTTAGTATTAATGATGTAGAAATATGAACATATATTTAGTTTTCCCTTGAAATATTCCCTAAGCTGTCAAGAACAATTTAAAACGGTTACAGTATAAATAAATGCATTACATCATTCCAGTCAACAGGAACTGTAAAAATAATCCTAGTATATTGTAACATACTTTTGTAATTTAGCACCACTTCATTAACTGTATATAAAATAAAAAAAATAATATAAAAATAATATAAAAAGTAAATAAAAACATACTTTGCTTTATCAAAAAAAATTGAAAAAATTAAATGGGTAGCCTAATTTTAATATACAAAACATAGTAACTTTAATTTCATCACAGAGATTATGTAACATACAAAAAGAGCATCAAATGCAGCCACACAGGAATGCAGATTTATTGACATCCATAAAATAGGATGTCTGGCTGTCTGTCCAATTTTGGAGGCCAGACACTTTGGGCTAGCCTCACCAAACTTTTCAGGATGACACATAGGTGGTAAGGGACTATCATAGGTAGGTCGGGGCACGTCTCATTGCACTTCTTTAATTAATTAATAATAATAAATATGAAGGGTCAGCACATGTTGTAATTCCCAGTGACTTTTAGTTACCTGAATTTACTCAAGGACCATCATCTATCTAGTGGCCATGACAGGGAAAGAATGCAAGTGGCTTTTCAAAGGTCCCCCAATTTTTCCTGTTTTTTTTTTTCTAGCTGGATTCTGAACTGCAGCAATGTCTTTGCATTACTTGCTTGACAGGCAGGCAGTTCCATGAGTTTATAACCCTATGGGTGAAAATGCATCTCCTGTTCTACACTGTGGCTTTTTGAGCCCCTTGAAAATTCACTCTGTCAGGGACCAAACAGCCAGTGTATACTTACATAAAAAAAAAATCGTAGAGTGGTAGACCGTATTGTGTTATTCAGCCCCTGAGCCCATTATGTGCCTCTGTAACCATTTCCATTGCCGCCCATAGGATGGGTATGGGGGGTGTATAATAAGTTAATAGTGGCTTTAGGCATTGTATGTACTAGCTCTATCTATTAATCCAACAAACTTTGTAAAATCTCTTTATGTATGTACCTTACCTAAATAAACATTTATTTATGTATTTATTTATTTTAATTGGATACCCAATCCCAATTAATTGGGACACAGGATTGGTATCCACTATCACTATTGGTATCCACTATGTTTTGAATGTTCATTCAACACAGGTTTTTTCTCAAATATAAATTAATATAATACATTAGCATATTGTGCATATATAGGAATAAGTTTGTTAGTTGTTTAGGTTCTGTTGGTGATTATTTGTATTTGCGGTACGTAAGTGAAGCATTTACAGCAGCCCGTCCTCCAAACAAAGACCCAAAAGTGATTCCATCCACCCTCCAAACCCCAGCTGTTTATGAATGAAAAACGGTTTACACACGACTCACAACTGTTGACGTTCGAACACTTCCGGAACAAGTGCTTCACTGACGAATTTTGTTCGAACCACAACGTGGTGATTTTATCGAGCAATGTTTTGGCATTTACGGCTTCGGCGGGTATGCGTTTCCACAACGTTATAATTCTATGGGTGAAAACAAATATTTTCCATCCTTCAGTGTGGCTTGTTGAGCTCGAAACCGTTGCTCCTTGTTGGTCTTACAGCTAGCCTTTTGAAGAAGTGTTCTGGGTCAATATCTTCCAAATTATTCAGTAATTTAAATGTTTTGCCGAGAGCAGCCCTGTCATGTCTGGTACCTGTGGCCCTCAACCGTTCCCGGTATGAAAGTCAACTTTGTTCGGGAAAGATTTTAGTCGCCTGGTGTTGAACTTTCTCTAAAGCAGATATGTCTTTCTGAAGATGAGGTCTTAATGCGTGGATATAATAATCAAGTGGAAGCACACCAGAGATTTATACAGTTGTATAACTACCTTTTCCTTCGTCAAAATTTCGTTTGACTATTCCAAAGGATTTGGTTTGCTTTTATAACTGCAGCTTCCACGTGTTGTACAACTATCAGTGATTGGTGGATTCTGACTCCAAGATAATGTTGATGATTTGGTAGTTGTGCATTGTTAAGCCCCACGTGGGTGAAAAAAATCTCCTGTTTTCTGTCCTAAGTTGTGGCTTGTTGAACCTATCCACCGCTGCCCACTGGATGGTGGGGGGGGGCGGTGTGCAGGACAAACATATATATTGTGACACTAGCTCTCCACATATGTCAGTTGCTTAACTTAAGCTTTGTTAATCTTTCTTCATATGAAAGATTTCTAATTTGGGGAATTAACTTAGTCATCCTACGCTGGACACGTTCAAGTGAATTTATATCCATTCTATAATATGGCGACCAAAACTGAACTGCATAATCTAAATGGGGCCTAACTAGAGCAAGATATAGCTTGAGAACCACACCAGGTGTCTTGTTACTAACGCTGCGATTAATAAATCCAAGTGTCCGATTTGCCTTATTACGAACATTTATGCATTGATCCTTTTGTTTTAAATTCTTACTAATCATAACTCCCAGATCCCTTTCGCAATCCGACTTCGCAATCACAACACCATCTAGCTCGTATCTTGTAACTCTATCATCATTACCTAACCTCAGAACTTTACATTTATCAGCATTAAACTGCATCTGCCAATCCTTTGACCATTTCAAAACCCTATCTAGATCATCTTGAAGTGATAGTGAGTCCTCCTCCGAATTAATTTCCCTACCGATTTTCGTATCATCGGCAAATTTGCAAATGTTGCTACTCAAACCTGAATCTAAATCATTTATATATATTATAAACAACAGAGGTCCCAGGACAGAGCCTTGAGGCACTCCACTTACAACATTTTCCCACTCTGACTTGATTCCATTTATACTAACTCTCTGTTTCCTTTGGTATAGCCATGCCCTAATCCAGCTTAATATAGCACCCCCAATACCATGAGACTCTATTTTTTTAATCAGTCTTTCATGTGGCACTGTATCAAAAGCTTTGCTAAAGTCAAGGTATACAACATCGCAATCCTTACCACTATCAACTGCCTCAACAATGCTAGAATAAAAAGATAACAAATTTGTTAAACATGAACGGCCATTTATAAAACCATGTTGCGACTCAATTATTAATTTATGTTTTTCAAGATGAAGACGAATTTTATTTGCTATTATAGATTCGAGTAACTTTCCCACAATAGACGTTAGGCTAATTGGTCGATAGTTAGACGCAAGTGATCTATCTCCTTTCTTAAAAACTGGTATCACATTAGCAACTTTCCAAAACTCTGGCACTCTGCCTGACTCTATTGATTTATTAAATATGGTTGACAGTGGGTCACAAAGCTCCTCTTTGCATTCTTTAAGCACCCTGGCAAACACTTCATCCGGCCCTGGGGATTTGTTTGGTTTGAGTTTTACTATTTGTTTAAGAACATCCTCCCTGGTAACTGCTAAACTCGTCAACCTGTCCTCGTCCCCACCCACATAGACTTGTTCGGCTGAAGGCATATTGTTAAGTTCCTCTTTAGTAAATACAGATACAAAATATTTATTAAAAATACTACTCATCTCTTCATCACTATCTGTTATTTGACCTGTCTCAGTTTTTAATGGACCTATCCTTTCCCTAGTCTTAGTACGATATAACTGAAAAAACCCTTTAGGATTTGTCTTTGCTTGCCCTGCTATGCGAACTTCATAGTTTCTTTTTGCTTTCCTTATCTCTTTTTTAACATTTCTAACCAGTTGTACGAATTCCTGTTCTAAAGTGACCTCCCCATTTTTAATCCTTTTGTACCAAGCTCTCTTTTTACCTATAAGGTTCTTCAAATTCTTTGTTATCCACTTTGGGTCATTAGTATTCGATCTATTCAATTTGTATGGTATACTACGTTCCTGTGCTTTGTTTAGAATATTCTTAAATAAGTTATATATTGAATCCACATCGAAATCCCCATTTAAGTCACCTATCGCTGGGTTCATGTCTCGCTCCAAGACCGGCCCACACCCCATACCCAAGACTTTCCAATCAATTTGACCCAAAAAATTTCTTAGGCTATTAAAATCAGCTTTTCGAAAATCTGGCACTTTAACAGAATTTTCTCCTACTGGTCTATTCCATTCTATGCTAAATCTGATTTCTTTGTGATCACTGCTCCCTAGCTCACTCCCTATTTCGATGTCATTAATTTGCGTTTCCCTGTTAGTTAATACTAAATCTAAAATATTATTTTCCCGTGTTGGTTCCTTAATGTGTTGCGTAAGAAAGCAATCGTCAATTAATTCTAGAAAATCTTCTGCTTCACTATTCCCTGTTTTGTTCAACCAGTTTATTCCGCTAAAATTAAAGTCACCCATGACATAAATACTGTTAGATCTAGATGCTCTAGATATTTCATCCCATAGATGCTTTGCTTCCATTCTGTCTAAATTTGGTGGCCTATATATTACTCCTATTATAATATTATTAGCTTTTTCGTTTAATTCAATCCAAATAGTTTCTGTGTGTGGCTCTGTTTTGATTCCCTCTTTGAGACTACATTTCAAATTGTCCCTAACATATATGGCTACTCCACCTCCTCGTCTAATATATCTATCTGTGTGAAATAGTTTAAATCCATATATTTGATATTCAGCTAATAGTTCTCTATTTTCTACATTCATCCACGTTTCGGTAAGTGCAATAATATCTATTTTTTCTGTGCAGACAAGAGCATTTAATTCGTTAATTTTATTTCTTAGACTTCTACTGTTAGTGTAATATACCCTAAGTGAATTGTTATTTTGCGGACCTTCTCTTTCCCTGATCGTTTTGCCAATTCCTTTCTCCCACAAACACATACTTTTATTACCTCCTTCCTCCAAATCAATTCCCATACCTCTATCTACTAACAGTTTAAACCCAAACAAACACCTCTAACCACTTCTTCTAACGAGTTCGCAACAGCAACAACCCCAGCTCTCGATAGATGCACCCCATCACGAGCATACATTTCAT